TGGCTCTAAAATCCACTTTGGGAACCAGAAAAATAAGCTTTTCTCCTAGGCTGGCTGGCGGACTGTTTGCAAATATGGAACATTACCGTTTCGTCACAACAACCTGCGATTGACTGAGATCATCGTCTTCATGCCACACAATGAGCTTGCCAGGTGACTTGCCGGGAACATTGGCTCCTTTCCAGCTCAATAATTCTCTTAGTAATTCCAAACATACGTCAGCGTAAGCTTTCACGGTTCATTCTTAGCAACAGAACCAGGGAGCACGCTCTAAAACGCACAAAATATTGTTGGCATTTGACCCAACTTGATATCAGCTAATTCATTCTGCCATATGTTTGTTCAGCCCAAGGTCAGAAAAACGCTGAGTAGCGGCGATTTGAATCGTCACGGTCCCCATTAGGTGACTGACCAACTGGTGGTGAATAAAGTTGTAACCAGTTAACCAGATAACCCGTTAATCAATAATAGCCAATAAAGTACGTATATAGTAACCAATAATCATTACAAATAGAAATATGGTTTTGCAAAAAATGCGAATCTTGTATAGACAATTATACGAACGTGGAGAAGCTCTAATTACCAGAACTTAAGGAAAGGAATAAAACATGATCATCTACAAAGGAAATCAGTTTAGCATTGTAGCATCTTCGTCAACTGAACTTGTCATCTGACAGATTGTTTACCTTTGCTTCGAGGCTCCAGGGTGGTGGACAGCGAATGGAGGACCAATGATCAGCTGACCCGATCCACACTGTCGGCATCACCCGGGTTCTGCCAGTATCTCATGCCTTGACCCATATCTCATCTCTTATACGACCTTGAATCGTGACGCAGTCAGGTGGATGTCTCTAAATTGATGTATTTAATTTAAGGCAATGGCCAGTCATCGTCGCCCATTCCATCAACATTATGCTTTCTTGTTAGAGCCAGTGTTGTGTTTAGCACGCATATAGCACATAGCATAGAGTGTACAAATTTTCATTTTCGTAGCATCCGAGCAAAAATATATTTGGGAGAGCAGTCCGCAGTGGAGGGTATCAACACTGGAAGATTGAAGCTCGAGTCCTTCCACAAAATTAAAATGCACACCCCTGCTTTCTTGGAATGACGTGCGGATGGCTTCAGCTGTTAGACACTCACTTCGAAGTCATAGGTAATGCTCTTCAATAAGCAGTAATGTTATATTAATTGTGCTATCAGGGCATGCCGTCTGTTTGACTTGTCCCTGTTGTGTGACTTTTAATTCTTATGCGAATATATATGTAGGTTATGCTGCGTGACTCCTGCGAACGTTGTGCTGATAATCAGGGGTCCGGGGCTTGGACTTACGAGAAAACATTGACAGCCGGTATGCAAGGTCTAATAGTCTCGTAGAAGCCATTGAGAACCAGAAGCCAGGAACCATGCTCAAGGTTTGGTATAGAACCTATACGAAACAAGATCTTGGATTTTATTCGGCCAAAACATCCTGTGGGAACCAGAATCCGCCGTCTTGTTCCACTCCCGATTGGATACCACTCACTGGCCGACTAAGCTGCAGTCGTCGAGCTGAGTGATGGTCAAGCTTAGCCAACATCGATGTGAATTGTGGATGTTTCCACGAAAGCTTGGGGTGCACATTATTTATCCACGATCCTTTTTATTCTTTTCATTTGATTCGAGGTGGGTATGCCGCCACACTAGTAGTGCCTAGGGTTACTGGTTGTGGGAATGAATTTTTGATGTTTAAAGAAAAGGAAGCGTTGTGCAGTCTTTTTTTTTTGCTCTTTTTGGACGGTTAGCTGGTTCATCCTTGGAGCTTATTATTTGGACCTTGGATGTTCTATAAAAACTATGAACGGGCTGCGAAATCCTTGTTCCAGAATAGACCGCTCGCAGACATTACTTAATGTCTTCGTGCAAAGTTTGTTTTTATTCCAGCCAATGGCATGGAACATTGCATCCACTACTTTACAGTACATGAGTTAATTGGAGAAGTTGCCCGCACTATAAACGTACAAATATTTATTCCACATTTGCAGCCAAAGTGGCTATGTCATAAGACTTATCAAAGCTCGTTGTGTTCAATCTCCGCACAATAGCAGATTTCACATAATTTAAACTATTTTAAATTTGTTGAGTGAAAAACGAACGCCTTTTCCGGCTTACCAGATGCAGAAAAGTATGTAACGACGTTTATGTTGATGAAATTGAGGTTGGCTGTCCATAAGCAAGATCATGTTTGTTTAGAGAGTTCCGATGCTAGATCTTGTCCTGCTGAAACTTTTAGAAGCATAAAGAAACAGACACTCGGTAGCATGTTTAACGCAGGCGCGACAAACCAAACTGATATAATGGCCACGCCTCCCATCCATAGGTGTGCAGTACTTGGAGACCTTCATATTTAGACCTGGCCCATACGCGATCATTGAATAAAATGATCCGCCTAGCTCGCCTTGCTCCACACAGCACCACCGATGTCAAGGATAATGGTGCGGCCAGCATCCAGCGTCCTCGACCAATCCACACAGCTGGTTGCCGGGCGTAGTATTATACTAAACTTTGGGTGACCTAAAGGCATGGAATGCAGCAACGAATTTCCGTAAGGAGTTTCGTTGTGCGCACCAAACTAATTATTCGTTGGATAGACGTAGTTTAGCTGTTACATGTCAATTAAATTGCATAAAAACAACCCTTTCGCTGTCAAAGCGTCTGGTAAATCCGAATGATTTGGAACAGCGCGAACTTCGTAAAAATATTTGAGGGCATTAATCCATCGTAAAAGCCGCCAATATTTGTATTGAAAAATGTTCTTCGGGGACTTGGGGACCGAAGCGACACGAACAGCATCGTTACAGATTTTTTTCGGGTGGTTGTGACGGAGGAAACTTTAAATTTGTGCTGCCAGACTTCTGACTCCCCCTCGGTCTGCAACCGCTCACATTTTTTGTTTGTTTGTCTGTTTGCTTAGCCTGATAGCAATTTTGAATTTCGATAGCACTTTGAGTGGGAAGTGCTTTTGAGAATAAGAAGAATTTCAGTAGCACTTTGAGCCGGAACTTGGCATTCAGACGCGCACGGCCGATCTGTTGGGCCCGAGGCACTTAAATGCCGGATTCACCTCCGTCAGGTTCAATGCTGATTGGCCGATCCTGGGAGCGGGAGGAGCAACAGGCAGTGAACTCCGGGCCGGGGGTGCAATAGTACGGACAATATGGAAATCCCTGCGATCCAAGTGTCCGAATGCTGCCACACTGCCGAGTAAGGGACCGATTTCCCTTCACGCGCTGCACCGACGAAGTTTTTGCGAGGACGTTTTTTTGTACTGTTTGCCTGGCAGTGTGGCTTGTGTGTTCTCGTGGAGCCGGAGATTGCGAGGGGCAGTGATTTATTGCGGTAGAGCAATATGGTTGAGTTACTTTTCCCGAGGGTCTGAAAGGGGGAGGCAAGTGCGGCGGATACAGGGATGGTGCATAATATTGCGATATTTTGCCGGCCAGCTGTTGGAAGTTCGACATTCGATGGAAATGTATTAGTTAGCGTATTAGTAGCTTCTGTGAAGTTCAAGCAGTTCGCATTTTGAAAGAGACGAAGTTCACGAACCTCGTGGAGCGACAGTTGCAATGGCAACGTAGGTGCTCCGGGCAAATATTTTTTTTGCAAAATCGGTGCTTATTTGCAAGAATGACTGAACGTATTTCGCGCTCACGGTGGCACAAGAAATGGACCATTCATATGCCGTGTTCGCTTCACCCTTTTCGAACCCACTTCCTCACCTCTACTGCTACTTCGCCCTTGGTTTTCGAGCTCAAACTTCCGGACTTTATTTTACCTTTGAAGGCTTTAGCTGTTGCTTTGCATCCCCTGTTTCTTGGGGCTGTTATCTCCCTATGCACAGGCAGTAGTTCATCACGCAAGCAATCATGTTTCACTGGAAAAGTGCATTGGTCCCGCCAGCCACGCCGGCTTAAGAGTGTCTCGGTCCTGCCAGCTAAGCTGGAAAAGTGTCTCGGTCCCGCCAGTTACGCTGGCTGAAGAGTGTCTCGGTCCCGCCAGTTACGCTGGCTGAAGAGTGTCTCGGCCCCGCCAGGTACGCTGACTGAAGAATGTCTCGGCCCCGCTAGTTACGTTGGCGAAAGGTTTCCATATACTAGGCGTCAATTACCTCTGAGATTGCCGTAGTAAGCAAGACACACCATTGCCATCCGTGAACTTTGGACTTTTATTAACATCATAAAGGATTCGTTGAGTTCACTGTGGACGTTTTCAGGACATGTCCCAGAAGATGGCAGTCTTTTCGAAGATGTGACTGGCCCTACTCTGGACATAGGGACTGACCGTGGCGGAGGTCGTTGCGACATGTGGAGATCTCCACCGGCTCTATGCGATAATGTGGCTGGCGTGATGATGTTGATGGGATTGTGTGACTGACGTGCTGATGCTGATGGGATTGCGAGAGCCTTCGGCTGACGAAGTGGTTAACCTTGGGCTGGCTCCGTCAGTGCTGCTTTGGCCTGCGGGAAGCACAGCAGTATCGCCGGTTGGGTATATGGACGCCTGCTGTGTCCGTGGCTGCCGCTGCCTGGGAGCGGGGCACTGCATCCGCTGTCATCTGAAACACACATCACACGGAGACAAAACACACAGCACACGGGGCAAAACACACAGCACACGGAGGCAAAACACACAGCACACGGGGCAAAACACACAGCACACGGGGCAAAACACACAGCACACGGGGCAAAACACACAGCACACGGGGCAAAACACACAGCACACGGAGGCAAAACACACAGCACACGGAGGCCAAACACGCAGCACACGGGGCAAAACACGCAGCGATCTGACCGCAGCGTCGCCAGCGACCGCCCTGGTGACGACGAGAGCTGACACAAACCCTGCCGCGATGACCGAAGCCGATGACCGAAGCCCGGTGGACCCGGCCTGGTGATGACCTCAGCTGGCACGCCCGCGGCCCCGTGGACGACGCGGGCTGACGCGGCGCGCGCGGCCCGCAGGTGGTGGACGCAGCCCTGGCAGCCGTGCCTGGCCCGCTGCGGCGAGCCGGGCCGCCGCCACCGCTTGGTCGTCTGCGTCCGTCTGTCCGGCGCGGACGAGATGCAGGCGCTGGGGGAGCACGAGTGCGCCGACCAGCCGCGGCCGGCGCTGGACGAGCCGTGCAGCGGCCCGACGGACAACTGCGAGTGGCGCACCGGGCCCTGGAACAAGGTCAGTTCTGCTCCGCTGCCGCGCCGAGCCGGGGTCAAGGCCAGGCCGTGGTTTGCCGCCGTTGTTGGGGGTGTTCGATGCAGTCAGCTGCTGGTGTTGCATGACGTTGCTTGCCTCTCAAACCGGCGGGAACGGCGAGGAGTCGAACCCCGTACCTCTAGTTTCCCAGACGCACAGCCTAGACACTGCACTACCCCCCCCCCCCCCCCCCCCCCCCCCCCAGGCTCGTCGACGACTCGTAGGAAGTAGTCGAAATGTACAGTGGACATGAAGCACAACATCCGAAAACTGAGCATTTGTTTGTTCCTGCTACGCATTTCATTTCAAAATTTGTCGAGGAAGGCCCTATATCTTAGTACCATTTGCATGCGGTGAATTCCATTTTAATTTGGAGTCGAGAATCAATTTCATCTTAGCCCCCAGATATGCGAGATCTGCCTAGCTGAGAACATTCGGGGCTCAGAATATCCGCCGAGGTGTTGGCTATGCTTTACTCGCGCGGTTTTGGGAACTGTTTCGGTGACACACTCAGCAGGAAGGGCTAAAACGCGCCTTATATTGCCGCTTGCTCAGGGTGTCTACATGGGATCTTATACTACATACCGTCAAAGGACGGCTGAAGAGGCTAAAGGGCAGCGAGCATCGCCTTCTTAGAAGCGCACCGTTGCAAAGGCTCACTTGGGTACTTAAGTATGTGAAAAAGGGGCGAGGCACAACTTCTTGAGCGTGGGGGCAGGGGGCACCGCACTTTGACTGTCAGTGGAAGGTTGGATGTGGTCGTCCTTTTTTCTATTTGGTGTTATGTATTAAACGATCTTGGAAACTGCCACCGCAATGTGCTTCCTCAGTCGGATCGGCATGTGGACCATTTCCGATTATCGCAAATTGTCATAAGTGATCATTGTTATACAGTTGATCGCCGCAGGCTTCTGTCCCAGATGATAATCAAAAGGTTGCGCCACTCTTGTTGGAAAATGGATTTGCATGCGATTGAGGGTCACATCCGATGACCTGACACTCTTGCTCACTAGAGTTTCAGTGGTACGCTCAGTGTATTGGGAATCGCCGGGTGACATCACGATATTCCAAAAATATCAGAGCTGAATATATCGCATCTAAAGTTTTCCGAAGTCCAGCTTGGCGACACTATGCACACTCACACCAAGCCAACTGGAACGCGACCTTCAGCTTATGTAATGCGCCGCGCCTGTCATGTCTGTCGGTACAGATATCTCCTGAAGCAGACTGCGTACAAAGTTTCCAGTGACAAATTTGTGATCATCGTCTGTAGATCTATCAGATGGAGACGAACACAAAAATCGGTCACCACTCCGTTGCCTGACGCCGTTTGTGTCTCATTGGGTCTTTGAGTCTTCAGCAACGAAGTACGTCCTCTTCCTCAGGACGCACTTTGCTGCTGAGGCTAGTTGGCGTCGCCTGCCTCTCGCTCTGGTGGGAAGGGTGGGTAACGCGAAGAAATCAACCCCGTAGCTCTGGTTTCTGAGACGCGCAGCTTAAGTACGCCACTATCTGTGCTCTTGGTGTCATTTCTGCGCGAAGAAATTTTCTGTTTTTGTATGTAATGTGTCACCTGCATATAGGGGATTGTTTGAAGATTTATGTTACCTCCACTGCATGGCATAGCCTAGTTTGCTTGCCTCCTTAACCGTGGGTCATGTGGACGTTGAAACACCCAGATTACTCCCCTCTGGCTCTTGGATGTTTCCCTGCTAGTTCAGATGCCCCACACACCACCTGTGACCAGCCTTGATGCGAATAGCCGTGTCGCAACTCGCTTCAGTCGCGCAGCTAAGTGATCGATGACGACGCATTCAACCTTAGTACCCTGTGTTTCGTCTGCACGTATCTCCCAGACACCGCTCCTGGGGCCGTTTCTCGGTAGTGTAAGCAGCTCACATCAGGACAGGTGTTGCTAAATTCATGTTTCGAGGAAGCCGTAAAGCTTCAGAGTGTTCTCTAACGGTTTCGATCGCAGCTGCAAAAAAGAAGCACCGCCAATGGAGGAGGTGGGTGCACTGCAACTCCTTTGGAACAGGGCTATAACCACATTAGTTCAAGAAATTGCTGCACATTTGTATGAAGTTTTGAACTGGTATAGCTATTTCGATAGCTATTTAACAAAGATGTTTTGTATAGCTATAGCCCTTTTCAAGGGAATGTTTCACATTGGAAGATATTGAGGCAAACATCAACTAGATGAAATAAGCTCACTTATGACTATGCATACACTTTCTAGTTGAAAACATTCCTCTAGACAACACAATTTCCGCGTTGAGGAAAATGCTCCTCGATACGCCATTGTTTGATAATGTCACCATCCCTTGCACAACATTGATTGAGAGCCAATTGACGGCCGCTATATCTGGAAATTGCGCTCACGAACGTCAGATATGAACAACTCGACCATTATGCTTCTTCCTGGCCTTGATCACCGCATGGCCTATGGAATGGCAGGATTAAAAGACGTTATCATTACCTCATAAATGCCAAGGTGACCTTGAAATATATAATAACATAGATATATTATGATATATTAAATACAGAGAGGTATATATATATATATATATATATATATATATATATATATATATATATATAATAATCTTTGTGGGCGTTTAGCTATGAAACTAGACAGGTCTAGGTCTTTACAAGGGCAAGGCTTTGAACTGCACTGAATGGTCTTCTAAATGGCTATTTCAGTTCAAAACCCCACAGAAGTGTGGAACACTCCCTTTAAAGGTATTTAAATGCAAGTCATGCCAGTCTAAAGACTTCAAACACGCTTGTTTCTGAGAGTGACGCACGCAGACCTATTCAGACCACTTTGCGCAGCATTTTTGAAGGTCATCAAGCACGCTTGACGTCATAGAAACGCCACATAAATACCGTCACCTCAATGGCCACCTGATGCTCTAGGTCAAGAAAATATGATCGTCGAACTATTCGTGTCTGGCTTACGTTAGTGCGACTCGTGCAATCAAAGGACAGTACTTGGCCTTCAACCAGTTCAAGGCGCTGAGTGCATGCTTCGAACACGAATTCCGTTTTGTGCCCCACGATACAGCACTTTGGGCAGTGGTATTATTTATGATGGAACTGAGATTGGGAGTCAAATATGAAAAGCGCCGTAATCGAGCATGTGGTTGCAAGCAAAGAAATCTAAAATCATTGACAATGGCACCAAACAAGAGTACCACAAAACAGGGCCAAAACGCTCGCACATAACGATATTCGGGTTCAGCAAACACGCACCGCCAAACACTTTCACCTCTCGACAAGAGGAGGTGCTACAAGGGAGTCGTCCACTACAGCGACAATTTTGACGCGGCCACTATTGCAGCGACTCTGACGTCAACGAGATGTCCCATGGCATAATCATAAGATAACATATTGAGGAACATCTTGTCTAAATAATGATTTTTTTCGTAGTACACCTTAAACGCCGAAAGACCACGCGCGTGGTAAGGAGCGTGACCGACCGCATGCATGTATTATAGCATGTCCTGTGGGTGAAATAATTGGTATGATCACGCTAAATACGAAGACATTAGTAAGCTTTGCAATGATGTCTGATTTTGAATGAACTCAAGAACCGATGCGGTAATATAGGACCCCGGAAGTAGGCTATGCGAGATAATCCGCCGCGTTTTATGCCAAAGGTGCTCAGCATAACAAATGGTCTATGACTTTGGATTCTCTAGGTGTGCTCAAAGCTGCATTCCCATGCTAGGGTTAACTTTGTGCATCACGACTGCCGTCCCTTGGTGATGTTAACCCAAGCGACTCCATCGAACTTACAGGCCCCAGTTGGCATTTTAGATGGGACCCCGATCCGGCAGATCACCCGACCGGTGAAAATGGTTATACGTCGGTATAGCCTGGGACGGTGTGCGCGAATCTCTTACGTTCCTGGATTGGATGTATTCGAGGAGCGGTCAGGTATAACAGCGCTGTAACTAGGAAGCTAAGGTGTCCGAAGTTTCTCGGGCGGGGCCCCGATCCGGCCTGGCCAGACACATTGGCGCGGCTCTACGTAGCGGGAACAACCAAGCCAATGCGCACTGAGGCCTAGTCATTTGCCAGAGCTGGGCCCTCACGGTGGCTAGTTTTATGATGCAGAACGGGTACCGCTGGCCTGCTCCACCTTTGTCCAGCAATAACGGACAAGGCTTACTCGAGCTTAAAACCAAATACAGGCTGAGCGCGCACCGAATCTACGTCCACAAGCTTCTGGCTATTGATATTCAATGTAGTGGATCAATTAACACATTATTCCTTGCTTTACAAAAGGCTTTAGTCATGCGACTGTCGTCTGCACAATGTCGTCTCGTTGACACAAAAGGAGATGCACTCCAGGGGTGTCCACCCTCAACACTGCCGGCTTCAGCACCCGGAAGTACCGCAGGGATGATGCCGGTATCGGGCTGGACGCCATGCATCCACCCTGTCAGCGTGCTGTTTTAAACCAGGGGATATTCATGACATGCTGGACGAATGCATGTCTTCCAGCCGATGGAGCGTAGCGCGACAGTTTTGGCGACATCTGGTCCCTCCATCGACCCTTGGCCAGTCGACGCGGCTCAGCTGCTAAGTTTAGTGACTGAGTTGCTGCTGGCTGAAGATGCCTTCGGTCTGGACGTGGCGCAGGTCCCGAGCATTTCGCAGCAGATGGCACGCCTGGCGCTGTAAGCGAGCGATTTCCGACGCCAGTTCAGACGGTTAGTTTAGTGCTGGGCATGCGTCTTCACCCATAAGTCAGACGGGCCTGCCTGCGTCCCGGTGATAAATGAAGCTCTCAGGATGACAGAGCACTCAATAGGGAAAACTCACAGCGCAGGCTGCCTGGCCGTTAAAGACCCGAACAGGCGCAGCTTTTTCTGCCCGTCATTGTTGTTAACGCCCAGTAAATTCACGAGAGGCGTAGCCAAACCCATCCCCTCCAATATAGACCAACCCGGCCACGATATTTATTTAGAACTGAACTGGCACGGATTGAGGCAAGTGCTCAAACACAAGCACGAACAATTTTGAATTAAGTTAGCATAATACCATTAATTCGTAGGACGCTGAAGTAGAGCTCGTAGAGCACCGACATGCGGCTCCTAGTGAGTTTTTCAGAACATTCAGACCTGCCGAGCTGACACATAATGAGGCAAGTGGAAGCTGAAGACATATTGTATTGTTGCTGTTGTGGCGCCGACCGACGCTAAAGCTCCTCTGGCATTCGGAGTCCCGTCACTGCCCCGTTCAGCAAATGTTCCCTTGGCCGACCCGAGATCCCTTGTCGACACAAGGCCGTATGTTAAGCTTTGTGGGCCTCAGACAGCCACCTTAATCGTTTCAGGACCTCGACCAATGCTAATCGCGGGCCCGGCCTTACTCGTGCTTGGGAAATGGGCTCCCGGGGTTCAGACCGACACGGAGCTAACTGTTCGGCGTCGTTGGTCTCTGGTCGACACAGACAATCGGTGCAAGACGCCAGCTCTCTGATATTCAGGTCACGGGCCTACGGGCCGGGATCTTTTGTGTGACCTACACCCAGCCCTCTGACCCTTACGCCCTCCACAAGCAAGTTCTTAATTGTCGCCCCAGGTGGGCACTCCAGGCCTATCGAACCCTTGCGAGGGGGGGGGGGCGTGTCCCATGTGTCCCCTCCCCCTTCCTGTGGTGTACAGTTGATCTATCTCATGGTATTGGACACAGAGGATTGATGGAAAATGAAGAGCTTTCAAACGTTAACGGCTCGTTCTTTCCTAAGCACCAGCTGACAACCAGGAGCCAGCGCATCAGCGGTTCTTCCTGCGGACAGCAGATTGGGGGGACTGCCCCTCCCCCTTCCCGTTAACTTCGGACAAAATTGAACATCAACCTAATGATGGACTCGACATAGCGTTCTTTTCGGTGTTTCCAATCATGAATGCAATGTATATTCACTTTTTCAGTTCTCAACCGTCTTTGCGTATGCCCTAGCGTTACCCTGACGCCCATGGCAACCGGTGGAAATGTCGGCAGAAGCTACCTTTAAGCGCGCAATCTCCCATAACGGTTCGCTTATTCGCTGCCCAGCCCAAATGAAAAATTAAGCACCGCAGTCGTACAAAGCACCGAAATTGAAAGAAGTAGACTCACAATACACATAACAGCCCAGAAAACTTCACTTTCATGGAAAGCGAGGTTTTCAAAACACCCTAAGATGTGCCCCGGTGACGTCAATCGGTTGAATCGTGCAAACGCGTGTAGACGCGTAGGGATGAAAACAGCCCAGGCGTATTCAGCTTTCCAGGGATCCGGTTAATGCGTAATTTCACAGGTTTTATAGGCATTCATAAGTTAAAGTGTAATTCAGTTTCATAGGCATGACGTTTGCATTAATCTCACAGTACCTGTGACAAAATGCAGGTCTTAAAACACGTGGACTTCTGCACTCCAGACAGTCATCGAAGCTCCAACTCAGTCGCATGTGCTTGAGCACAACACACGTCTTTGAAGTCATCGCAATATGCTTCACGTCACTACTACACGTCACCATTTGCTTTTCGGAGCACTATCCACACAGCTGCCGCAGAACCCTGAGACACACGGCTCCACCGCCCACCGTAGGCTAGTCTGGGGCAGCTTGTCTTTGAACACGTTGTAGCCCTGTTGAAGCAGGGGGACGTCGTCCAGGTTTTCACTGGCTGTATAGAGGGTCGTGACGTCACTGATGCCGAGGTTTCAGTATTACACCCCAGTGCAGTGCAAAATATCCTCAACGTCTCTCGTCGACAGCTCTCTTCAAGCCATTCGGGCTTCGATGCTGAGAGAGCAGTAGCACACGGGCACCGTATGTGCTCGCAGCGTACAATACTCTCTCTTCAAGCCTTTCGGGCTTCGATGCTGAGAGAGCAGTAGCACACGGGCACCGTATGTGCTCGCAGCGTACAATACTCTCTCTTCAAGCCTTTCGGGCTTCGATGCTGAGAGAGCAGTAGCACACGGGCACCGTATGTGCTCGCAGCGTACAATGCTCTCTCTTCAAGCCTTTCGGGCTTCGATGCTGAGAGAGCAGTAGCACACGGGCACCGTATGTGCTCGCAGCGTACAATATCAGGCGCCCCACGCGTACCCTCATGCAAGTGTCCGGCTGGTGAAGACTCCACGTCTCTAGCGGGGCGGCAGAGGTTGACATCTGACCTCTGATCGCGCGGCGGACGTGTGCACACTGCGCTACCAACGACGACACCGCCGCGCTCTCCGCTGATATTGGATATCCGCGTGAATCCGAGCCTGGTGGTGTGGTATCTCCGAGAAGTACGGATGGCTGTGTGCGGCCGACGGCCAGCAGCACCCGACAGACGGTGCTCTTCCAACAGAAAACTTTGCAGTTCGTCCTCGCTCTTGAATCAACAATCATCAGCGCTGGTTGACTACCGCACATGTAGCCCATTTTTTGCAGTTAAATGTTATTCTTAACTGTTTGACTAATAATATTTATGCTAAAAAACGGATCGCGTTATCACCACTTCTGAAAATTATGGCAGGAGCCCTTTCTTTGCTTGTCATTTGTACGGTTTTGACGGCATGCCGTGGATTAGTGAGTGAATGGAAAAACGCAGCTCTTGAAATGCTCTGAAATAAGCTTTAAGAGCAAACATTGGCACCCTTTGCTTACCGTGAACCGTGTCATTCAATTTTTTGCTATATTGCTTATGCCTGCCCTCCCCTTTCCAATCCAACTTTGATCCGCCTATAGCCACAACCATCCTCTATCACTCTAGGATATCCCAAAAACAGATGTATGGTGAAATATCAGGTTTCTGGGGTTGTTTCAAAAGCCATAAAAACGTATAATGCACACCGTGGAAACGCCCCTGCCAGACGTATCTTTCACTGTAATGACCCGTTGTGTTCAACATATGTATGTACTGCATCAATTCGCATGACCCAACACTACTACTCGTTGATGTTGTGTCCCAGCACTGCACATTCCTTCAAATCGAGTAAAGCTGCTCAAATTGACATAACATGCCCCCCCCCCCCCCACCAGAAGTATTTCCTGGAGTCGCCTCTTTCGAAGACAAAAGTTGGACCTTCCGTACAACGTGCCCAAAATAACTCCAGAAAAAAACTGAGAAAGCTTCAGAGCTCTATCATGGCAGAGAGGGACACAGGGGAGTAAGAAAGCCACGACACCATGAGCAAGACAAATAGGGGGAAGAGCGAATCTCGCCCTTCCTGAGATAATAGGTTTAGCAGATCGGGACCACTCCGCGGCGCCTCTTGGGTGCACCACCACCCTCACGCGAGTCGTTTTGTATCATCCTTATGAGAGATCGCGGGGTGTGAATGAAAGTGCCGAACCCTCAGTGCTCGGTAGGGCCCCACAAATATCGTCCGAAAAAACTCCACAGAACTGCTTTCTCTTCATATGGAAGCGCTCGGCGAGGTGGCGCGAGCGCATTTCAGGTGCTGGATTCTCAGGATGGCGCCGGTGGTCACCGACTGTTTGTAGCTGCGATAAATTATGCCCGTGACGAGATCGCTCCGGCAGCCGAGCGCGCGCGGCGCCGTCGATTCTGGGCGCCGTCGACCGTCGGCCCGTCACATCGTTGGTCCGTCACGCCGTCGGTCCGTCACGCCGTCGGTCCACACGCCGTCAGCCCGTTACGCAGTCTGTCCATCACGCTGTCGGTCCGCCACGCTGTCGGTCCGTCACGCCGTCGGTTCGCCACGCCGTCGGTTCGCCACGCCGTTGGTCTGTCACGCCGTCAGTCCGCACGCCGTCGGTCTGTCACGCCGTCGGCCCGACACACCATCGGCCCGACACACCATCGGTCCGTCACGCCGTCGGCCTGACACACCACCGGCCCTACACACCATCGGTCCGTCACGCCGTCAGCCCGTCACGCCGTCGGTCCGTCACGCCGTAACCTCTTGGTATCCGGGCGCTCAGCGCTGCAGTGCGGTTGTACAGGTGCTGTACGGGTACCCGGTGCACACGTTTTTGCTTTCATTGGATAATTTCGTCGTAGAGCCATTGTTCCCACGCTGCACGTGTGGCGTTCGTGGCTTAAAGAGATTTGCGGACTAGCTGTTTGGACGAGGTGTTTGGAATATCATAGCCGTATCGTTAGTATTCAGTCCACATTGTGTTGTTCCGTTAACACCGATGTTCACTACCCTGTGATGGCGGACTATTGGCAAGTAAACGAGCCATGGCGATAAACGGGCGGGCCATTTCAACGTGAGATAAGTCCCGGCTTGATCGTCAACATACCGCTGGCAGGAAATTGATCGCATCGAATCGCTGGCATCGTAATGAAAAGCGCGCTGTCGCGTGTAGAATGTGTGCAACCCAGAGGGCGTAGAAGGAAGGATCATTTAAAATACTTATCAAAAGCTTAGCGGAGGGTCACTTCGTCAAATGTTTAAGAACGCTGCGTCATTTTATACGATAAACTGTGCGCATGTACTTAGTCCAACTATACACATAAAAACCTAGAGTTCTAGCGCACTCTAGAAATTGATTCTAGCTAAAAATATGTATGTTACTGAGACAATCTTTTAGCGACAGACAATATTATCCGGAGCCGGCACTCTGCGCCGCTCCGCCTTCCACCTTACAGGAAGCCGATACGACCCCCCACTGATCCAACATTCGCCGTTTTTCTGCTGCGTTTTTCCAGTCTTGTTGTAGCTTTGCGTAAGTC